ACCCGGTACCGGCGGGCCCCGGCCGCCCCCCCCCCCCCCCCCCCAGGTCCCCGTCCCGCCGCACGGCCACCTTTGCCGGCCCCGGTCACCAGGGCCCGGCGGCCGCGGAAGCTGGGGTGCGGGTCCATGGTGCGGGCGGACTGCGGACGGGGCGGGGCGGGCGGCGGGATCGGCCCCCCGCTTCCCGGGAGGAGGCGGGGCCGCAGCACGAAGCCGTTCCCGGGGCGGGGGTAGAACGGGCTCCGGGCTCCGATTCTCGCTCCGGTGTCGAAGAGAGACGCCCCAGAAAACAGGCGTCGGGCAGACGGTGGGGGCGGCGCTCGCCCCCCCGCCCGCCCCCACCGGTAACGCAGCGGCGAGTACCGGGGGCCCCCACCGGACCTGGCACACGGGGTTCGACGGCAGCAACACCCTGTGAAGGTGCAGCCGAAGCGTAGAAACAACTGGAAGGTGCTGAGACAACGTTACAACACTTAACTTATTCCTCATTTTAATTATTTACTCTATTCATCATCATCATCCACAAATATTCTTCTCATCCGTATTTATCCCTGTGCCCATCCAAACCCTCTAACTCACCTGCTTCTTGGCATCACAACAGCCTGAGGGGAGCCCGTAGTTTTTCCTGGATGACAGAGTTTACAGGCTATTTTTGGTGTAGGGAACGTCTCAAGGAACATGACAAAAACCACAGCCTTTGACATATTTAAATATTTATTTTGTAGAATCACTTTACGTATGAGACAGTAGTTTGATTAAAAAGCTGCATCCCGATATATCCACCCGGCCTACCGTGTCGCCAACACAAGAGACCTTAAGAGAAGCTCGAAGGCATTGGAGGGTCCTGTATTGCCTCGGGGCAGAACGTGGTCCTTTTCCCCTTGATAAACACCCGAACCAGCTCAGAGGAGGCTGCCTCTCTGGCACATGGGGCTCGGGGGCAGCAGTGACTCCAGCCAGCTTTGCTGCCATCCATAGGAACCACAATTTCCCACATAATCACTGCCTGCTCCGTACAAGAGGCTTTTCCACCAGTGGAAGAGGAAGAAAAGCTCCCACAGAAGAGTTCAGAATCAGTGTTCGAAGACAAAAACCTCATCAAGAGCTTGTGCAGCTTCACAGCTCTTACAGGAAGTTGAAAACAAGAACCTAGTAAGTGTTTTTTTTTAAAAAACAAAAAGGTATTTATGTAGATACCAGGAATCTTCAGAGCTACGAATGACAAATCATTAAACCATAGGATGCCCCGATTCTAGTGAGCAGAAGACCTAATGAAGAGGTAGAACGTACCACAACCTACTATTCCACAGGTCCCTCTCTGTTTCCTGTACGGGGCCGTTAGTGTTACGGGTGTACCCGTTACGGAGTAGCCATAACTGGAATCTGACCCCCATTCCCTACAGCATTCTTATTCCCGTACCTCTGGGTCACCTCAGTGGACATGAAGGAAAGGAGGAATTTAAGAACAAGCTGCAGGACTGTAGCAAGTAGCACCAGCTTATTTGCTCCCCCGTGGAATTAACTAAAATCACACAGAGAGGACAATGTACACAGGTAAGCGCCGAAAGGTTTGTGTTAAAAATAGACTTCAGGAGGCTGATGCCTCTGCAAAGTCTCATACTCGAATACCCTGCAGGCGTTTGCCCACATTATACCACTTTTCAAACATCAGAATGCTAAGCAGTTAGCTGAATTCCACCGTCCAGCTCAGCACAGCTGTTTAGAAACCTGAAACTTTTGCTGGGTCCGCATTCTAGCCCTTAATCGTAGATCCAGGTTATACAATGCCATTCTATTATTCTCCCCTTAATTCAGCCTCAGACACTAGCACTAAACCAGCATGTATTTTCTGTGAGAGTAAACAGTGGTTTTGCAAAGTCATTTTTTGTGCTGTTCTTCATGTCAGGCAAGGGTTGCACATGGCTAAAGTTTGGGGAAACAGAAAAGTTAACACATGGAGCCCCATTTCTTCCATTGTCAAAACTAAGCTTACTTTACTTAAAAAGCAGCAGCCAGTGACACTGCTACAGCATTGAACTTCTGCCTTTGTGCGAGTGTGCAGCCTCCTTTTAGTGATTGCATGAACTATTTATTGAAACATTAAGAAGTAGAGTAAAAATAAACACTGATCTTGAGCTTAAGGTAATCAAAAGATTATCTGCAGAAGCTGGAGTGGAGTAACCACAGTCATACAATTAAAGGTCCTCAAGTGATACCATCAAAGTTTCCTCAGGGCATCACAGCTATCTAGCATTCCTCCTCCCTCCACAGCAGCAGATCACACACAACTTCAGACGCAGGGCGTGTTCCATCAGCCAATGAACATGCTCTGGCCCATCCGACCCCGCTGTGGGCAGAGCCGGAGAAACCATTCCCATCTACTCTTGGCAGATATTTCTTCAGTATCAAATATCAAGGGGATAGTCTTGGACCTGGCAGACCACCATCCAAAATCAACAACTACTGCAATTCAGCTGCTAAGAGAGCCGAGTCTGGCAATCACCTCCATGGGAGGTACACGGGCCACAGGGGAGAACGTGTGCCGTAACAAACTCTTACACGGGGCTTTCCCATGACAAAGGCTTTCAAGCCTTGTTTACCCTGGTGATTCCAGGATTTCTGGTGTGAACAAACAGACCCTGTTCCAGCCCACAGGTGGAGTTTTAGTAGGACAGGCCACAGAAGCGCCTCGATAATTCTGTTCCCAAGAAAAGTGAGCAATAACTTCCCCTCTCTTGTCACCATGGGGACTACAGTCTGCTCTAGCTCTCCAGCTTCAAGACAGTGGCCTCTGAAAGCCCCCAACAGCAGTAAGAATGCTGTCAGACCAAGTCCTGCACTTTCCTGGGATGTGTCCCAGCAGAGATCCACCCGGCATCAGACAAAAGCGTAAAGTGACTCGTAGGCACAGGACTGAGGTCATTACACTAAGAGCCACTGGACAAAAGGAGGAGGGTTCTTCTTGGGATGGGCCCAGGCTGCAGCTGAACACCCCACCCCACCTTGCCTTTGTACACAGAGTCTGTTTACCTCCTTTGTAGGTACCTCTGGTTGTCTCCCAGAAGAAGAAAAAAAAAAACACAACCCAAAGCCCCCAAAAGTCCACCACAACTCCCATCTTATGCAAAGTAGGTAAGATACAGTTGTCAACAACCGGTGAAGGATTATGACATCTTCTTAGCAGGGCACCAAATAGTGTCAGGATAGAGCAGACAATGGACAGATTTAAATCTATGAAGAAAAGAAGAAAAATAAAGAAAATATAAGATTGGAATTACTCTCCATATGAGGAAGGCACTAGCATCAACTGTGCAGCAGTTTATCAGAGCAGAGAGGGTGGGTCTCCCTGCCTTAGGCACAGCGACAAGGGCTGGCACGAGAAAATAACCCCATGAGTGAGTCTGATCATCTTAAGAGTTGATAAACATGAAGGGGGCAGGGAGATCTTGTTTTGGAAGTGGACACTCACCGGGTTGGATCTTGCTGAAGGCCAAACACTCCTCCCACACTCACAACATTGTGTTTGTTCTCAGGGTCCCCATAACTTAGGGTTACCTGTGAAAGCAAATAAATCTTCAGAAAATGTAACACTAACACAGAAGAACAAAGCGGGGATAGCAGGGTTATTAATGAGGTATGAAGAAAGACTCTGAGGATCCTGTGATCTGAAGGGTGGATTACATCTGAGATATAGTGGTTAGTTCTGACACAAGCAGCGCTGGCACCGAACGGGAGCTCTCAAAGGGACCACTGCAACGGGGAAGAATAAACACAGGAGCTGAGAGTTGCACTGCCCTGAAGGACAAGATGAGTTACAATTGTAAGCTTTGTAAGGGCATTAATCCTGCTCATGGCTGCACCTTCACTAAATAACACAGGTTCACCCTCACCAGACTCTGCCTGAAGTCCTGCAATAGCACTCTCTCAGCACAGAGGGAAAATAAAAACATTTGGATGTTAAACAGCGCGCAGAGGACTGCCGCGTGACAAACCTGGCAATAAGATTTAGATCTCTGGAACTCCCAATTCACTGCTATTCATCCACAAAAGCACTGCACTGAGAAATTTTCGGGTGCCAGGTAGGAGACTACTTTTGTTTTCTTTCTAATTGTAGAATTTCTAATTTCAGGTTAGCTGTTAACAGCCTCAGGAAAACAATGAGCACCAAGGCAAGGCTGTATTCAGCCTACAGTTAAATTCACTCACATGAAGGACATTACGTCACGCTGGAATTTGGCCCCAACTGTACGTTTCTGCTGCCTAATACAATTGCCAGGAAAATATAACCAAGTAGTTTGCAGGGGCAAAGCCACTCTCCTTTTTTACTGTTTGGCACCGTGAAGAGGCAGACAAAGCTTCCAGACAGGCTTATAGCTCCATCTACTGCCCAGGAGTAAAAAGGTATCCCAGTAATTAAAAAACCTAATTTTTCCTAAAACTGATTTTTTTTTTCCTAAGAAAGGGTGATTAAATTTCTTGGAACTCTGGCAAAAAACGGGAAAACATTTAACTACGTCTTAGTTATTGAAGAGGTACTTGCTATAGCTGCAACAGCAGTCTTTTTGAACAGCATGAATTAAGCCTAAAACTTTGTTAAGCAAAGACAGAAATAATTTCTTACATGGCAGGCAAACTAAATATTGCCTCCTTCTACATTTGATGCGACTGTGACTTATGGAAAGTCAGAGTTTAGAAGATGGGAAACACCATATTTAGGCTTAATGCAGCAGAATGTGTCAGCTGTATCACTCAGGGGCTAGGGTGAGTGTGTGCTTTTTACCTTAACGAAGGCACTGGCCAGGACACAGCTCTGAGGGAGTCTGTAGCACTTTTCCCCAAAGAAGGGTGTCTAAGTCCATGGAGAGTATTTTTCTGATCAGAGTGAGGTGTAATTGCAAGAAGAGGACACGAGGCTCAGCCCTACCTGCTGCAGCACAGACTCTCCCTGTAGCCTCTGCAGATTTTCCAGGTGGGAATGGAACAAGGGGCTGTGCAGCAGCTTTACCTCCAGCAGCCCCTCGATGATGTAGCCGATGGTGCAGTCGTCAGGAAGACGCACTCTCTCTGCCGTACTGATGAAGTTACCCAGGCTGTGAGACAGAGCACAAGAGCTGGAATATGCTTTAAAGCCTCCCAAACACATACTGATGGAGCTCAGCTGGGAACAGTATTTACCTGGCCCAAGGACTCATCTTCAGGGCAAGACCTCTGCTGATACAGAACCCTGCTCCACCTGTGGCAAACCAGAATTTCACGGTTGTCTTCTGAAGAGCAACAAGAAAAACACACCGTAGTTACTGATAACCAGGTTTTTTTTCCATTTGGCTGGGCAGGGAAGGGAACTTGAGATTCTGTTGGATATTGCACTCCAGTCAGAACAAGACTACAGATTAATTCCTATTTCTCCAGACTGCTGAAAGCCCAGCTAGCTGTTCTCTCAAATGAAACCATCCTGGGACCACCAAGTCAGCACACATGAAATGGGAAACTCTAATCCCACTCACACCCAATTCCACCTGTACCTTGGTCATTCTGGCCAAGTGTCACAGCCAGCTCAGTGTTCCTGAGAAAATCAAAGATGGTGCATTAGTCACTTGGTTCTGTGTCCAAGAAGACTATTATGTTGTGCAGAGTCTTCCCTAACAAGCTGGTTTCTAACGTGACTTTCTGGCCAGTGGATTGATTTATCTTTAGGCCTGTCAGTACATACAACCTGTTGAGGACTTGTCCTTTAGCACAGGTACCTTGTGACTGAGATACTTTTGCCTCCACTTCTTGGAAAGCTTGTAACTGCTCAGTATTGGAAACACCTTACAGACCCAGAGAGCCTATGTCACCCATCTGAGGTTGTTTCAAGATGACAACAATGTGATCCTGCTCTCAAAACAAACCACCCCAACGCAAACCCCAATCCAAATCCCAACACCCTAACACGAGGAACGCTGCCCCAAAACAACTAAAGGAAGAGTCAAGGTGGGGAGGCCCCACTCACCTCAGCGTGAGGGAGATCACCACGGTGAGTAAAGGAAGAGAAACAGACATCCACCCAGGTGACAAACTCTACTCTACATACGCGTACGAGATCAGATTGAAGGCTCATTTAACCCAGCACCCCGACTGAAAACGACCAGTGCCAGGTTTGTTGCTCACGGATTAAATCACTTGGATTCTATGGGGGAATCCTACAAATTCTAAAGGTTTTAAAATCTTAGGATGTTGGGCTGTCTCTCAGACTAACTGCAGGGTTTGCTTACTGATCCATCGCTTTGGACGTGGTCGGCTGCTTCAATGGGGTGGTCCAGGCTCGGCCGCCCCACGTAGACATCCTGGCTGTGTGAGAAAGCAGATAAGAGATGCAGGAGAGTCCGAGGGTTCACATAGTTGTCATCGTCCACGTGGCAAAACCACCTTCAAACAAAGCAAAATAAGAAAGTTACCGCAGAGCAGCGAGAGAGAAATGAGTTACAGGTTCAGAGCTGAGCCTTCCTCTTTCAGGCTTGGAGCAGAAAGCATTTCCCATTATCCTGAATTACAGAATTTGGAAGCTGAAAGCACCCACAGGTCCTAATTCTGGAAAGAGGCCCAAATTAATAACCTCCTTTAGATTATCACCCTTTCCACCCTTCAGATGGTGCTCGTGTACGAGCACTGGTTCATGCTGCGCTCCCTGCCTGGTGTCCACCACCACATTTTGGCTAATGCCACATTCCTTACCGGAGCAGAGAGGGTTACTCCAGCTTCCTGTGAGCACAGAACTGGAAGAAACAAAGTCAATCAGAACAACGTGTTTCACCTACTTTTGCCCAGATTCCAGGAATTTATCATATTCCACAGACATCTTGCAGCAGAGAGCTTGCCGGGTATGGACAGCAGAACAGTTGGTGTTGATCATATGATCCCCTAGAAAAATAAAGATCCAGCCCTTTCAGGTTTGAGAAGCATGTGTAGGCCAAAAAAAGACTACAAAAGAAGCGCACATTTGGCACTAATACTGCCCATCTGAAGCGCATCTGGTGCACACATGGAGAGTAAACGGCAGGACAGGCAGGGCCCATGGGTTATGCACATAGCAGGGTATATAAATAGTGCCATGAGAAAGTCCTAGAATGGTTAGAGTTGGAAGGGACCTTAAAGATCATCCAGTTCCAACCCCACCAGACCAGGTTGCTCCAAGCCCCCTCCAACCTGGCCTTGAACCCCTCCAGGGATGGGGCAGCCACAGCTTCTCTGGGCAACCTGTTCCTAAAACACAACCTGTACCTAATACAACCTTGGACCAGATAGACTTAAGCATGCTGACAGGATGGAAGTGGGTGCAAAGGTGAACCCAGCATCCAGGAAATTCCAGGCATCGCATCATTGTGTCCAGGCAGTAAGTAGGAACAGCACATTCTCCCATGAAATGAGAAGCTTTCTCCATTTTCTCCATCTGAACTTCCCTACTTGCTTGTACAGCACAAAACAAGGACTTCTAGGGAAGCAAAACTCAGTTGTAAGAGGCAGCACGTGCCCAGACTGCACAGCTTACCCGCTTTCAGGCGCAGCTCCCGATCCTCCCAGTCTGTGAATATAAACGTCTGCGGGAGACAAAAAGAGCAAATCCGCATTTGAGAGTTTCAGAAACAAATTTCAGCTTCGTCCAGCTGCCACTGGGAGTGGGGTGGGCAGTGGTGTCAGAGAAAACACCAGTGACTTCAGCCCTTGCCTTATTTGATGAGTTTTTTTGCATTGCGAACCAGAAGAGTCTCATTTTAGTAAAGCATCCATGATTTTACTCTCCTCATCTCGGAGAGTATTCCCAACCCATTTCCAGAAAGGAATGACTGTCTTTTTTGGTAGTACCTCCCCTCTGCAACTCCCCCTCCTCTCTCTGGATAGGAGCCATCTGCAGCTAAAAGGAAAAATGAGAGTCAGGGTGGAAAGTGCCAGGCAGTAACACTCTTGTCCCATCCCCTGGACAAAATTGTGTTAGTACACTCGGATGGGCTGAAATTCCCAAACAAAGGGGCGAATTCTGTGCTGCTCTATGGAAAAGCCTAAGTCACTGAGAGCTCAGCTAGTCCCAAATATCAGCTTGGATGCATCAGCACTAGGAATCCTTCACTATTGTGTAGTATTTTCTGTGGTCACACATAAGTCAGCAAACTGTTGCTGCTCCGACCACGATCCCAGACTGCAAGGAACTTCACTCCAACAGCCAGGAGCTCTTCTGGAGGTGGGTTCAGGTGAACTATTTAAATAAGGCAACTTTCCTCAGTTTAAGGAAAGTCATGGGGAAGGATGCCTTTAACCCGCGGGAGGAGAAGCCGGGTGAGATGCTGCAGTGGCCGCTCTCCCGGGGGGAAGCCTCACCTGTCCCCTCGCCTGGGAGATCCAGGTCTGGAGCAGCAGGTCCAGCCGGCTCCGGTGGTACTTCCTCGTGGTCTTCACGGCGATGAAGATGTCCTTCAGCTCCAGGCTCTCCCCGGACGGGCTCAGGCGGCCCTTCCTGGCGGGCTGGGGGCTCCCCGACCCGCCGCCCGCCCGTGTGCCGGGCAGGCCGCTCTCCCCGGTGCCCGGTGTCCCGCTGGGCCCGGCGGCGGCGGCGGGGGGCGGGCG